TAGGGGGGGCGCAGAAAATGTTTGGGAACCACTTGGGGGGGCACAGAAGAAAAAGTTTGGGAACCACTGATCTAAGGCAACCTGACCCAGTGTGGAAATTTAATGGCCATATCATAAGCTACATGTGATTTGGTGAAGAGAAAATCAGAGAAAAGTGAAAACCAAATTCAGGCCTCATTCCCTGCCCTACGTGTGTTTTCTTCGTTCTGTATCTATTATTCAGACTCCATCAGTTTTTCAGTCATATTCCCTTCACGTCTTTGGCACATTGAGCTAATCAGCTCAACTTTAAAGCATTCAAGTACTAAGCATGTTCTGTTATTTCTCAGTCTGTGCCCATTGCTCTTGTTGCCAATCTAGTTGTTTCTTGACCCCCCTTTACCTTTACAATCTTTTCATCATGCTTCTCCCATCCTTGTCTTATTTTGGTTCTTAAACACATCGTGACTCTTGTCAAACCTTTAATTCTCCCACTGTTTTCTGTCTGACCACAGTGGATGTAAAGCTGGACTCAGCCACGGCCCACCATTGCCTTGTCCTGTCCAACGATGGTAAGAGAGTGAGAGACGGAGGAGAGAAGCCAAAAGCTCCTGACGATCCGGAGAGGTTCGACACATTTGGCAGCGTCCTCGGGATCAATCGCCTGAACCGCGGCAGGGCGTACTGGGAAGTAGAGGTGAAAAACAAAAGTGGCTGGGATCTAGGTGTGGCACGGCGGAGCGCAAACCGCAAAGGGGTGCTCAAGGTCAACACAGACAACGGTTATTGGGTGGCCGTGCATTTCAAAGACAGGAAGTACGCAGCCCTGACAGTTCCCCCCACAAGCCTCCCGCTGAGCGAGAAACCCCAAAAAGTCGGAGTGTTCGTTGACTATGAGGAAGGCGTCGTGTCGTTTTATGATGTGATGAACAAGTCGCACATTTTCTCGTTCACCGAGTGTCTGTTCAATGATGACATTTTACCTTATTTCAGTCCGCATCCTAAAATGAATGATAAAAATGTTGATCCACTGATTATATCTGTTGTCTAAAAGCATGCCATTATCTTGAGTTGTAGGATAGTCTCACCACAAAAACCTTTCGAAAAATACCACGTAATAATCACTGGTGTCACACGTGTGGTAACAATTTTAATATATTCTTTATTTTTTTAAGTTGATCTACAAGTCTATTTTTTCAAATAAATATCCATGACATCCTGTTTCACCAGATTGTAAAAATCATGTTATGCTCAGTGGCTCAGCCACTCTTCAAAATTTGAAACATGCAATTCAAGTAAGGCAGATGTGTGTTGATCTTTATACGTCAGGAAACGGCTACAAGAACGTAACTACTGACCGAACATCTCTGTAGTCAAACCAGACTGGAACAATTTTAAAACCCCCAACTGTGACAAACAAGGTTCAACAAAGACTAGGTGAAGATCGATTACTGGCATCAAGGCAACATTTCCCCTTCTGTAATTCTTATATAAGGCGAAATGTAAGATTGGATTCCTTTGAAAGTGCCAGACTGACTTAAGTTTTCTCTGGTTGCTTAAAGCACCAACTAAACAACTTACACAACTAGTAGAAGGCTACTAAACATTTCTCTCCAAGATACAATCAAGACCCGTTTTCTTGGATTCAAATATGTCCACTCATCAAAAACGGTTAGTAATGGTGAGGAAGGTGAAGTAACACCTTGTAAAAGTTAAAGTTGGAAATAAAAAATAAAAAAAACTACAGATGAAATAGGAATATTACAAAAAATATTACAAAAAAACACTGCCAGATAATCCAGAAATGGACAAGCATTTATGTCTTATTGTGTGTGCAAACAGTAAAAAAAAAATAAAATGAAATAAAGAAAAAAAACTTCTGTGCCTCATTTATGTTCCTCATATATGAACATGTTGCATATAAGCAATATCAAATGAATATATTTTAATACAGCATTCATTTTTTATATAGATTTTTTAAAATGCAGCATTAAAAATATTAATGATTGGGGCGGGGTTTATTTATAAAGACATAAGCGCACATCAACCAACCAATCACATGTCAATGATGAACTCTGATGTCATTGTTTTTCAGTCAATGACTGAGAATCCACGTGGGTCTGCTGAAGCGCCTTTGCATTATGCTAGGCTATTTGTATGCTAAGTAGAGTCGTTAACAACTCCCGCCCGCCCGCACCTCCACTCTCCCCTCCTGGGATTCCGCATTCGACAGATTTTGACTCTCGTGAGTTGTGAGACAGTGAAAATGTAGACTGTCAATTGCTGTCGACAGTTTGCGAACGCAGCTCAGGAGCTGCGTTCGCGTCAGAATACAGAGTCAAAAATCCCACTTTTTGTCTTGTGAGACTAGCTACCTAAGCAGATAGCTAAGCTAATTAGCCAGCTGATATTATCTTGTTTAATGCCCTTGTAATCTCTAACTTTAGAAAAAGCAGAACACCAAAGAGGCATTTTGCGTTGAGAAACCCAACTATGAGAGGGACCGCTGGCTACTTATTTTAACAGACCTTCGTTGTTTGTTTTTTTCCAAAACTGACACTTGCCAAAAACATTTCAACAGCAACTTAAGAAATATGCAACATCTTAACTTGAATACTTGAAACAATATGAATGTATGAATGTCTTAATCTGATTTTTTTTTTTTTAAAGATGAAGACTATACTTGGGAATTGTTTCTTGTAATCTTATTTAAGGTTGTGGAATATGACTGTGATGTAGATAAAAGGGAAAACAATATAAATGCACTGTTTGTATTTTAAAATCAATTAAAAATGCTTTGCTTTGTTACTTTTTTTGATTGCCTATGTTGCAGAATATTATTCAATTCACTTTTTCCTTGTTTTTCCTACAATTTTGGTCACCCATTCGTTGATAACATGTTGGGTTTTGGCTTTCTGTTGATCAGATATAATGGTGGTTGTGACAATAAAACTTCATTGCTCAAAGAAATGCAAATTCAGCAAAAACAAAAAAAGTAAGTTTTTCTTCAACTGTAAAATTGTTATAATAAAAGAGAAGGTATATTTTGGATGATTTTTTTATTTAAATAAATAATGTAATTAATCTGTTTAGTGAAACTTTCATTGACTATTATTCAGGTCTAATAAATATAAATCACAAAAAAACAAGAAGTACATACATTTTAAAAAAAAAACAAAGAACTGACAAACAACCTGTAAGAAAGGCTTACAGTATTCAATTATGCCGCATGAACTAATATTTATGCTAGGGTCTTTGTGTTTGTGTGTAACTGAGTTTTAACTTTAAATGACTTGATTCTCCTGCTTGGCTCTGTATATTTCTGAGGTATTTTTGGCTTCAAAACGCTGTGTTTGATAACGTTTGATAACAATAATTAAAACTTCTCAATGTTTGACATTGTCTAGCAAAATGTTTTTACGTCAGGCTACATAGCTGCTACATCGATGAGCTGCTCTATGCTGTAGTTGGGGATTTGTTGTTTGCTGCTGAGCAGAATCATTTTGTGGCTAAAACAAACATTATTTTACATCAACTTCTAAGTTATGTGAAACTTCTGTTAAAATCATTTGAAGGCTCAGAATCAGTCCAGTACCGGTACCGGTCCACATTCTCAGGGGAGAAAGACTCACCTGGTGTAAATTAAATTTTTAGCTATTGGAGTTACGCTTAAGAGAAATTTATTTATTCAAAGAATGTCTTGAATATGTGTGTAGGGCTGCACCGATTGCAGGTTTCTGGCCGATCCCTGGTTACCGATCTTTAAAAAGCCTGACCTGCCCATTTTGATTTTGGCTGATATAAAAAAAATTTGTGTCTGAAATATCGCAAGAAAGTCACTGTTGGCAACAGTGGAGTGAATATTGTTAACTGTAAATGTTCAGACCTGACCTGGTGGGTTAGTCAAAGCTCTTACTGTAGAGCAGAAAAGGACAGAGGATGATTTATAAACCTTTGCTGAGGAAGATAAGATTAGGGAATAAGATGGGCTTCACGTGTAAATCACAATCCCCCAAAATTAAGGAAATCGGCGCCCAAAAATCAACTGGTCAATAAGTCAGATGGCCAATAAATGTATCCTATGTTATACATGTATATAATGTAAACAGCACTGCCAACAATTATTGCATCTCTATGCAGGTGTGTGAATGATTTAATGATCGGGCTGCTGATTACAGCCAGTCCACATTGTTAGCAGAACTAGAGGGCTCCAAAACCACATTTCGCTTAGGGCCCCATGTAGGCTTGGGCCGGCCCTGCCGATATTAATAGCTTGAATATACTTTGTAACATATTTCCCAAACTTTAACAGCCAGTAGAGGAACTTGTGTTTTCTCACACAACTGACGCTTGTTGCCACATTGTTGCCACATTGTTTCCCAACACCACATACACAACAGCCAGTTGAACAACTCTTTTATCACGTCTTGTGTGTGTGTGACACACACAACACGTGTCTTAAAGTGTTTCCTATAAGTGCAACTTCTGTAAATTGGTTCACTGCGATGTGTGTGGTTCCACCCAAGCAGAACTAGAAAGGAGAAGCAATATTTGCACGTTTCTGGACGAGGACTCCACTTTAAGACGGCACAGATTCATTCACAGAGAAGGTGAGCAGCACCTCGTTACACCCAACAAATGTTTTGAGTTTAAACACGAAGTAGAACGTGTGTTTTAACTTACTGTATTATAGATGGTCAGCATACTTGTTATATGGTTTACTGAAGTTTTAGTAACATAAAATAAAGTTTCACAATGTACATCAAAAACTAACTGGTGTAAGGGACTGTTAAAGTCCCCCAAACACAAATTTTAGATACCTTTTCCCACTTTACATGAAGAATTAGTTATTGTAAAATCCAACAAAGGCAATGTATAGACTAAATTAAATGATGTTTTTGTGTACAGTGACAAGTCCCAGTCAAGTTTTCATAAAAGCTTTCAGGTTCCATCTATCTATTGACTCATATGACAAAAAAAGTGACAGTGAAATTAGTCAAGCAGAGGACAACAGTGGAAGGGAAAGACATTTCAATTATGATTTACAAGCTATTTAAATAACCCTTAATACTTTGTAGATGTATTTTTATGTTTTTATTTTTCATAAATTTATAATCAACTGATCCTAGCAGGTGTGTGAAAGATCTAATTCACACACCTGCTAAGGTCTGTGAATTTTATATATATATATATATATATATATATATATATATATATATATATATATATATATATATATATATATATCTGATAAAATCCACTAATACAGTCCTTCTAACATTTATGATTTTCATTAACCTGACTGTGAAGCTGAAGTTCCTGGCCGTGACGAAGTGACCTCTTGACCTCTTGACCTCTCTGTCTGGTGTCTTTGACCTGGTGTGTGACAGAGTCCAAAGAAAAGACACACTATGTGTGATACGTGTCTCACGCTGGAACCCGGATGTATGGAGACAGAGAGCTGAGTGTGGACGAAACTGGAAACAAATAAGGTTCAACATGGAAACAGAACAGGTTCATGCAAATATGATGAGCTCTGAGAGTATGGATTTCATATAAGTCTCTTCCCTCTCTTTTACTTCTACGTTACACGGGATTTTTCTCTGGTTTAAATATTCAAATGTTGAAATATTCAAATCGATCATTTCTTTAGTCGCCTGTGTTGGCCATAAATCGTCATTTGACTGGAAGCAGTTGACAAGAAAACAACCAACTCAGTGAAAAATAACTAGATGTAAGTTTCAGCTCAATACTTCATCTCTCTGCTCTCCCAGAGTCAAATAGACTCTCTGGTTTCTGGTACATTACACACACTCATCAGTGTAGTACTGTTACTTCTGTCACAAAGAAACTTAGCAAACTCTTCAAAATTCAAAAAGTTGTGTGTTGTTGGAATTTGCCTAATTTAATGATAAAATGTGATGTAAGTTTCTGAGTTCTCAAAGGTTTTCTCAATTGTTGACTGTCTGGTGTTCTTTTTATGACTTTTAATTGGGTTTTTATGCTGTAAAGCACTTCGAACTGCCTTGTTCTCTGCAAATAAATGTGATTGATTGATTGACTGATTGACTGATTGATTGATTGATTGATTGATTGATTGATTGATTGATTGATTGATTGATTGATTGATTGATTGATTGATTGATTGATTGATAACACAGGAACATGTTTCATGTTTCAGGTCAGTGTTAAGTCATCATCTGTCAGCTCTATCAGTTTCACTAAATTAGTGAGAATAAGACCTGGACTGAAGCTCAGCAGTACTGCAGAGAGAAACACACTGACCTGGTCACAGTGACTAACATGAAGGACATGAAGAGACTCATCAACATCTCAGCTAGACCATCTGGGCGAACTCCTCCTCGGCCTTGTTTTATAGATGTAGAGGTTTGGCTCTTCTGCTGGAGCAATAGATGATTTTAAAAATGATGTAGCTTCATGTTATTAAAGCTAAAGTTTAATCAGTAATACTTTTATAACAAATTTATGTCGGATCATGATTTCTTGGTTGTCAAGTTGTCATAACAGTCATTTTGAATAACGTCGACTTTGTATTAAAAGTGTCATGATTACCGAATGATGATTTATGACAATAATCACAAATATTCATGAGGACTTACTCATGTTCATGACAGGTGTTATGTCATTTTTATCACAGTGTCACGACAGTCTTACTCAGTCGTACGTAAAGCGCTTTCGGAGTTGTGAGATTGTTAAAGACAGATTTGAAGAGTTTTGTAAAAACATGTTGTATCAAAGGCAACAGCACTTCAACGGTGGGAGGAGACCCCAGCCGTGTGATTGGAAAGATGGACAATATCAGCAACCCTTGACAGAGAACAGACCTCCTGCTACTGATGTCCAGAGAGAGAGATCCAGAGACATGGCTCTGTTTTGGAAATGAAGAGAACGAGAACCAAAAGCTGGCCTGCACCCAAAGAGAGCTGGAGGACACAAAAATTGAGCTAAAGAGGCAGAAAAAACTCAAGGAGATGTACATCAACCAGATCAAAGAGATGAAGAAAGAACTATTGGCAGTGGAGGAGCTTCGATCCAAATCCGAAGCCGACTTTCAGCTGGTCCATGGAGACAAAATCAAGCAGGACCAAAATCTCCTTGAAAACTTGAGCGGAGAAGGACAATCTGCAAGAGAAAATGTCCTGCCTGCTGGAAACAAATAAACTTCTGCACAGTGAGCTGGAGAAGTTTAAGGTTTCATACCAAGAACCAAAGTGGAGGTATGAAACAGATGTTTCTGCACTGAGACATCAAGTCGAAGGTTGTCATCATTAGATGACTCGTGAGAAAGAAGCTCATCTGGAAAGAGCAAAGAAAGGCCTTGAGCTTATTGATGCACTCAGAGCAGAAAATGACTGAATCAGAGAATGGCAGAAGGGTTTTATTTCCTAATACAACATCTCCAAGGTGGTCTGGATCAGACAACAATTTCTTACCAGGAACTGAAAATTAAATATGAAGGAGATTTTTCTGCTCTAAAACAACAAGCAGAAATATTTAAGCAGAACGTAGATAAGAATATGGAGGCTTATTCAGAGAAAATGATGAGTGACCAGAAGATTAATTTGGTCACCAATGTGGAAGTCAGCAGAAAAAGACGAAAATGTAATTTGAGTCTTGATTTATTCTCAATGTTTTCCTACCAAAATCAAAAATGGAATGAAGGACAACCGTTGGTGTCTTCATACCTTACCTTCCCCCCTCACAATAAAAGCGTACATTCGGGTGTGAAATATTGTATCCGCCACAACGTCACAGTTATTGAATAGTGACATTTGTCGAGTATCAGTGTCGTTCATGTCGGACTTGGACGTTAAGTCACATTTAAATCGGATACCCAAGTGCCCTGGGTCACATTAGAAAATAATCCCAACTGTGTTGTTCAGACTGTCATGAAAAGATGGGATACAGGTCGCATTACGACGTCAAAAAAATCTGAATTGGGTCGCTTCTGGCGTAAGTCTGAGCAGGTGGAAAAGTTTTGAGTACAAGCAATATAGGTTTTGAGAAGAGAGACACGAAGTCCTGCTTTCAGACTGAAAATGTGCGCTCTTGGATTATGGCAGAACATTTTCCCCATAAACCACGATTTGTTCATAAATGTAAAAATGTGTAATTTTAGAGTTTTAGTATTATTTTACCAATTTATCAATTGATTTTTTTTTTTTTTTGTTACTTTAGAGAAGATGAACGCTGTTCTTCTGATTACTGTCCTTGGCCTGGTTGTTGGTGTGAATTCAGCCCTCGGCCTTTCTCCATGTCAGAGGACGGCTTCCAACAACGCATTCAACAGATTTGTTCGCAAACACGTCCTACAGGCTGCATTTGACACTAATTCAAAGACTCGATGGGAAAGGTGAGTTATACAGAAATAAATCCAACCATCCAGATGGGGAATCAATTACTGTACATACAATGTAAAGTCTATTTGCTTTGATGTTTCCTCCTACAGTCCAAAAACATGACTGTCAGGTTAATTGGTTTCTCTAAAACTGTCCCTAGGTGTGAGTGTGTGTGTGTGTGTGTGTGTGTGTGTGTGTGTGCGTGGTTGTTTGTCCTGTCTGTCTCTGTGTTGCCCTGCGACAGACTGGCGACCTGTCCAGGGTGACCCCACCTCTGTCCCAGAACATTAGCTGGAGATTGGCACCAGAAACCCTCCCGACCCCACTAAGGGACAAGGGTGTAAAGAAAATGGATGGACGGAGCTGATTAGAAATCAGGTCTTTTAACATAAACTATATTGGACACAGCTGCTTTAACACGCATTCTGTATTGGCTGCACACTTGCTACCAGTATGTCAGTACTTCTCTGATTTGTGAATTAGTCAACAGTTTGATTAATTAGCAGCAGCAAAAAGGGGAGTAATTTATAACACCTATCCGTTTAAATAAATGGAGCCATTAAAAGTGTAAAACATTTCCAAACATTTTGTTCAATGTTTAACATTCACTGAACATTCATCAGGTTAAATGTTAGCTCATTTAACCTGATGATCTTCCAAATCAATCAATTTCAAACAACACCAGATTGTGATTGTTTTTTCTTTCTCCTCAGCTACTTGAGGAATTTAAATCTCTGTGACAGACCCAGGCAGTCCTTTGTGAGCCGCGGAGACCAACAACAATTTGTGGAGATCTGCAACGGCAACGGGAAGCGTCAGAACGGCAACCTGTGCACCAGCACCCACTCACTTCAGCTGTACGATCTCAGAGTCCGTCAGACTCTTCAAGGTTGCATCGTCACTAATTTAAGACACGTACGTCGATACGTGACGGTCGCTTGTGACAAAGTCAACAACATCTGCCTTCCCGTTCACTTCGACAGCAGCCAAACCAACAGACCGAGCCGCAGAGCTGAAATCTGCAACGCCGAAACTTAATGTGTCCTTGTTACGGTACTTTGTCTTCGATTGGTCTTCAGTCTTTGATTCAACCATTTGTGGTCTTTGGTTTGGTTTGCCTTTTTAGCCGTGAAAGAAAGTGCATTATTTCTTGTATTTCAGTACTTGTTGTGCTCATTTTGTCCTTCATGGAGTTTTTTCAAGACTACTTCAAGGAGTTCCTTGTTAAAAAAAAACCCAAAACAAAAAAAGAAAACACTTTCAGAGCTGTGCTGCAATTGTTTCCTCAGCTTTTTAATCAGAGCTAATAAAATCTATGATGCATTTCTGTTGTCAGTCATGTTTTCTCAGAACCGTTGTAGTTTTTATTGTTCTGTTTTAGCTTACGGTTTTAGTTTTCCTGGTGACATTGTGCGCTCAGCAGAACCATTAACCATTTCCTTTTTAAGTAAAACAATGTGTCATCAGCCTTTTCTAATCCCATCAAAGTCCATGATACAATATTCTATTTCAACTTTCAAATATTCACTTTGTGTATAAAGTTTCTAACACAACTTGACATGATGATACCCATTCGTTCAGATTGAAACACGGTCAAAGCCATGTTATTTCACCATAGCACCAGAGTTAAAGGGGCAGTGTTATAGTGTTATGTTTTCCAGACACATATATAGTTACAAAAATGTTGTATGTCAAATAGCTTGACTTTGTAATTTATAGCCTTGAAATTGGGCCTCTGTCTCTTTAAGAAACTCCTGCTCTCTCTGAAAATTGCACTTAAAAGTCTCATTGCCTTCAGCAGTGACTGAAAAGATTATTTACCATATATTTATTGACCTTCATTACCTTTGATATGAGTTTAGAGTTTTTTCACCTAGTGGAAAAACTGCCTTGTAAACACTTTGCAATTTTGGTGGTCATATTCAATAAATTTGACTACTGACATGTTCATTTCTCAGTTCACCAGGCGAAACACATTATATTGATTAAGTACGTTACTTTTTTGAAGCCTCGATCTCTATTACTTAAAATGTATAGTTTATGAAAACACTAAATATCAAAATATTTACACCAGACAAATAAAAAAAAAATCAATAAAAACTAAAAACGGAGGACTGAAGTCAAACTGATCCTCTTCAATTGGGCATTCAGTTGGTTGTGAAAATTATTGTTGCTTTGAACAAAAAATGTAACAGTTGGACAAATTACGTGTTTAGACTTCTAAAAAGCCAGCTCATCGTTATTCTGTGACAATAACAATTTAAACAATAAAAACAACGACACAGTCTTATTTCACGTCTTTTATTACCAGTGCAGGACACTCAGTGAATCTCATTGCTTTGTCATTTTTTTGTTGCTACAGTCGATCTAAAATATTTTATTTCGGCTTTTTAATAAATGTTGGGAAATTCGACGTCCATAAAACAGAAGGATTGAGATTCTTCTGTGTGTTCTGGCGTTTCTTTGCTTACATTTGATAGATCAAGTTGCCACTGAATGTGGTGTGGTAATTGGATCCCCAAACAGTTGAGTTTGATTTCAGTTTGAGATAAACCTGGTCCCCCGGCTGCAACTCCAGGAACACGGCGTTCCCTCCGTTGTCAGCGAGGTCATTGGGGTGCGATGGGAAATCGTGGGTCATGGCAACTAGCTCGTCATTCTTGAAGAGACTCAGCATTGTTCTATGTTCCCATCCGTCATGATAGAAGAAGCTGAAGAAGTAAATACCTGCGACAGGTGCAGTGAAAATCCCTGCACAAAACACTTTGGTTCAGTAACACTGACAATAAGCACATCCATGGAGTTTAGCCGTAATGGCAGAGTGGATGATAAAAATGCGAGTGCGTCTCTACTTACCCGTAACCTTGTTGTAGAAATGACCCACATTTGTTAGAACAGTTTTGTAGATTAAGTTTGTGTCGGTATCAAAAGGTCCAACGGTTTCTGATTCTCCAACTACGGCACTGAACGCCACTTTGGTCAAGTCTAGGCGGATAAATATTAAAAACAAACTAGAAAATTCCACAGAAATTTTAAGGGGCCTGCCAAAGTGTGCCCGTCGGTTTGGACCCAG